TACTTCCCTGGCTATACTAGGTAGGTATTTACTTTATTTTTACTAAACTATATCCTCAAATCTCCAAAATAAAAGGTATCTATTTAAATTTAAACGTAAAATAAATAACTTTACCAGATGATAAATTACAAAGAATTTATGTAAAACTGATCCTATATGATACGAACAAATATTTTTAATCATATTTTTAATTTATTTAATTTAAAATATACGCTCTCTACTTAAAGTTAGTAGTGTTTTGTCCCTGTACATCACACTTTTCTTGTTAGTAATAGTCATTCCTATCATCTATCTAACTCCTTTCAGGGAAACATTTTTGAATTGAAATTACAATAATGTATATAGTTAATCGGTTCCTCCTACCTTAAGTTTTTCAAATCTGGTCTCAATTTTCATCTAACTCCGTTCTCGAGATTAAGAAAGGACGGGTGGACGACAGTGGGAATTTATGTCTACAATTTTTTTCAAATTAAAGCCCAATTAGAACGTTACGTTCCTTAAATACGTGTTAATTATTCTGTGTCAATGCGAAAGCAATAAGATAAATTACAATATCGTTCGAAGAACTATCGCAAAAATTTACATTTCAGCTTTTATTTTTCTGTCACAAATGATTAGAACTGTTATGTCTGAGATATAAAGTATTAGGCCTAAAAGCATCTGTTTTCACACCACTAATTTTCTATCTTATTATTACTAACATTACAGTAACATTACGGTAACATTACCTTCGTCATTCAAATTACTTAACCCGTTTAAATGATTTGAATGATAATTACAAAAAATATTGTAATGATAATAAGAAATGAAATTAATTAAATTAATTAATCTATATTTATCATTATGCTGAAATTTTTAATTTTAATTGCAATCATATTTCAATGATCCAATTCATACGGTTTAAACCATTGTATCACATGTTATCGAAAAATGATTTTTCTATGATATCTGTGATTTTTATAACTTCGAATCTAGAGTTTATATAACTTTCGATAAATTATTTTCGCTACAGAAACGTGGAAGATGACCATCTATATGGCATGTTTGAAAAAATTATTATTAACAAACTACCATTTTGAAAATACAAATAAAAATTTTCTGACAAATTGCTTGTTATTTTAGAAAAAAAAAATTAATACGCGAGATGTTTGTAACAATGAATGTATTAATATATTGCTATAATGCGTCATTTGAAATAATAGCGGAAAACGGATCGCTGTTTTCTAAGTGAAATCTTTTGAAATGAGCTGTGAATTAATTTTAGGTCATTTTTTAAAGCATTCCTCGAGACGATATATTTCCTTAATCCGTTTCTAATTCTAAATTTAGAAATGAACAAACATTAGTTAATTGCTATTTTAATAGTCTTATTATTTAATCTTATATTTTTTGACAAAAAATTTTAATATTTTAAAATATAAACTAATTTTAATAAAAACAAAAGCAACATATTTAATCCTATTAAAAATAATCCTTAATATTATTTTTAATAGTATCATTTTTTAAGTCAGAATTCATAATATCAATTTGAAGACAACTTGATTTTCTGTAAAGAAAAAAATTAATATTTACACTAATCGGAAATTCAAATATTAGTCTAAGTGTTTAGAATAATAAATTATACTGTATTTTATTTGTAAATATCGATGTGATTCACGTATACGTTTTTACTCTTCTTGGAACTTAGTAATTCCTTAAGCTTTACTTGTAATTTTGATTCTGATTTGTAATTTCAAATTGACGTAATGTACCATTAACCCAAAAAAATTATTGTACTTATTTTGTTGGATGATAAAGTATTCTAATTGGAAAAATTTAACGAAGAAAATGTTCACAGTAACATTAACAATACAGTACAGTATTAGGAAAAAACGGACGGATGACCGAGAGGTTAAATGACAGCTTATCGCTTTGAGGAATCAGAAATCGAATCCGGACAGATCGAAAACCCCAGGAATTTTTCAGACCATCCGGCTGCCCTATTTTGACCTGGCGAACCCATAATGGGCCTGCTAAACTGACCCCGTTGGTGCCCACAGTGCGGAAAGAGTTAGAAAAAAGAAGCTAGCACATAATAAATGAGTCATAAAATGTATTTAAATTTTTATTTTACGTTATTAAATTCTTTCATTAACAAAAGAATTCGATGTAGTAAAAAAATTAATTAATTGTTATAAAGTAAAATTTTTATTGAGTTTTTTATGATTTTTATGAAAATTGTTAAAATTAAAATGTTTTTAAAATTGTTATTAAATGTTACATTACATTACATTAAAATGTTATTAAATGAAAATGTTTATTAAAAAACTAAGTAAACACCTACCTAGTTTAAACTTAATTGAAACAATATATAAGCTTGTATGTAGTGTTCAAAATTATAAATTTTTTTTAATTAGGAATATTTTAAATTAAAATTATAATCAATCTACAATTTACCTAATTAATTAAACAAAATCACTTAAATACATTAGAATAGAAATTTTAATAGAAATTTACAATTTAAAACATCATAATTAGTTTATTAATTAAGAAAACTAATAATATATGATTGTTGTCGCCATTGTAACATTGTTTCAGATGGCAACAACACTCATATGTTATTAGTTTTCATAAAAAAAATAAATCATTCCAGAGATATTATTACAGAAAGTAACGCTAAACAGATGAAAATGTACTGTACAGTATATGGCCTCAAGAAAAAATTCTTTCTAAGTTTCGTTCTACATCAATTACTATGTTTAAATATTTTTAAGTTCTCGATTTATAATTAGTCTGACATAGCTACATAATTACTAAAAATTTAAAATAGTTTTAATTTCGCTTATAAAAACTAAAATATTTGATGTACTGTACTGTACGGCACAATACTAAAGATACCATGTTTAGCTTCGTATCATAAATTATCATTGTAATTAATATGACAATAGTTGACAGTTAAACAAATACTGTTTAAATTTAAATTATATCAATGGTTATAGTCTATCCGTTTTAAATACAATCTGAAATAAACAAACAAAAAAGTAAAATTCAGTAATGTCAATATAGTGCAAGTCTATTAATTGTTCGCGAATGATGTCTTCAGGCAGTGCATGTTTTTATTTTCACTGATATTATCACATTTTACAAGCTAAAGCAAGTATATTTCAGTATTAATAATAAACAATAAAACAGAAATAGAACTACCTTGCTTGCGTGAATAACATATTTTATAAGCATGACAGGTTTCTATTGTCTTTGATTTTATTATAATTTAGTCAAAATATCGGCTGAAATAGTTTAGACAGCTTTAAGTTATAAATATGAAACATTGTTATTTAAAAAATTTATTAAGAAAATATAAATGTTCGTCCTATATACTTTTAGTAAAGTATGTGAACCTCCTTCTGTTCTGAGAACGCTAAGAGTTGTTCTATATATTTGAAAAAAAATTGAATTTAATGAATGTAAAAAGCTCATCAAATTGACATTAATCAGCCTTTTTAATAAAACAATCGAACAAAAACTCCATTCACAATTAGAGCATAATGTACTACTAGGTAAGCACTCTTAAAATAATAATTACAAATATTTATTTTTGGTCAGCAAAGATTAAATCATACGAAAAAAGTTAAAATAAAATACTTTTTGTATTGGCGAATATACGTCACATTTTACCTGAGGCATAACTTAACGACAGTTCATTCAACCGCGCCTGACCTCGACCGTGAAAGTCTCCTTGTTATTCCACTAACATGGACACTTTCTATGTTTCGAAGTATAAAAAAACAATGTTACAACTAAAATAAATATAAAAAAATAGCACTGCCGAAAGTAAAAAAAGTTAAATTGGATATAAAGACATTCGGGAATCCTCTTTTCTAACCAGAATTCCGTCATAAATATATTATAATTGGGAAAAAGTTCGAGTGTCTCTTGATTGATCCATAAAAAACACGACAAATGAAGTATGCACTTCTTAAAGAATATTTGGTTGATTTAAGTCTGAGAGCGTCACCTTATATTACAATGGCCATTATTTGCCTGACCGTTAGGACCTATTTTTAGTATACAAACTGTGAGAAAGTTTGATCTTTGCTTTGGGTCAGGTCATGTTTCGAATTAAATAATTGTGGAAAGAATACTTTTAAAATATTTATTGAACAGGATTAAATATAAACTTTGTGTAATATAGGACAATATGATTTTGGGGTTAAACATTTCGAGGTTAAAGCATTTTAAGTCTATAAATTCAAGAACTGTATTCAGGGTATGAGTCATGTTTTTAGGAGAAATAAGTTTCGTCAAACAGGATCCACTTAGTAATGAAAATTTCCATTAGATAAAAATATTTTTAGTGTGAAACCATTTACTATTTAATACGTAGATAAATGAAAAATTGTAATGGCAAATTTCAAAAAGACTTTATTTTTTTGAAAAAATTTGTATTTTTTATTTAGTTTGGTTTATTTCATTAAACATATTTGATCAGTGGAATATATGTAACAGTTTGTTCATTGAGAAAGGACAAAGGTCAAAGTAGATTTCGACCTTTGTCTTTCTTCAAACTAAATTCTTCATCTGGACTTCATTAAAATGAAGTGCCATTTCATATTATTCAACAGTATGTATTTACATGATGAGAGGCAGTTAAGTAACTTACTGCATGTCATCTTTATCAATAATTTGTGTAATCATCTTTATTTACAAAAGTATTTTATTATAAAATAATAATTTTTGAATTAAACTTTCAATCCGGTTTACAAATAAGAAGTAAAGTTACAAAATTAGAAAGTAACATAAGAAATAACATTTACAGTTTTCTTACAGTTGTAAGCATCAAAGCGTATAATTATTTAAAAATCAGTTCCAGTGAGTTCTAAGTACAAAAATGGCATAAACATCAACAAAGTAGGAGTTGTGGGGAGAGAATTCTATAGACCGAGACGTATCTTCCAATGAGACGACTCGTACCATCCCTAAGTCAAACTTTCTACGGAGGGGGAGTGAACAGGAAAGACAACACCGCAAACCAGTTTGCGAACGGCGAGTGCTTACACACATCAAATTCTTCTATATCCGTCCAAGAACAAAAGACGAAAATGTTATTAAAAATCACCGAAATTTTACTAAAATGGATATGTTCTATGTGATGTTTGATATACCATGTGGGTCTTCGTATTGTTGAATTTATTGGCGACTTATGGCCAACGACCGGTGACAGGTAAGTGCAGATTCTCAAGATGGCGTACAAGGTCACTGTTTTACCTGTTGTGCACCCTATTAGAGGTCATCTTTATTGTGTTGTCTTATTGTAATCAATGTTTTGTATATTAACTTTCCAATAGTTTTAGTTTATTTTATATGTAATATATATATTAAACAATGAAATGATATTTATTTTTAGTAATATAAGATTATTTATTTACAAAAAGCAGGTGTAAATAATGAGTCGTAAAATAATTTAAAAAGTCAGATCTATGTCAAAATTAATACTAATTTACAATCACTTAACATTTAGGACATAAAACACGAAAACCCATTAAGTCTTTTTGAATTTAAAATTCTNGATTAACCCACTTTGGGGCCCTAGACATTTTCTTCTTATCGGGCTCCCTCCCGGCTCTTTCAATTAATAAATCTTGTTAATATTATTTCTATTAAATCGCATACAGACACTGCAGCTGCTTAATAAAAAATAAAAGCAAAATTATTTAACAATATTTCACAGGATTTAAGAATACATATAATTAATATTATTCTTATCGCTATAAAAAAAATTCTATATTAGTACGCCTCGTGTTCGTGGAGTGTACAAAGTTTTTTAAATAATTCGAAGGCAATGGTAAAAACTATGAACTAAGTTTAATTATAATTATTAATTTACTTAAGAGATGGTGCCTAATGTCTACCTCTAATGTCAAATTACTTTATACTAATCATTTAATTAGCCATATTATAGCCCGATATTAAGGCAATCGTTTGGTGATTTATTGTATATTTCTCGGGCTTTGAGTTGTTATTATTTATAAAAACGTGTATAATAATTTTTATTCCTTTTACTAGTTTTTGTGATATTTTATGCAGTTTTATGTTAAATTTTCTGTTCTGACCACATTTATGCTTATTTTAAATATCTACATTCCTGACCAAGTTCAATTCAATTTTCAAACAGCAAGAAAAATTGCTGTGTTTTCCTTATGTATGGACATGTTAAATCAGGAACATATTGCTGGAAATGTTGATTTAATCACTATTAATTAATTATGACTAAGACAAATGCAGAGAGAGCTTGAAAGTATCATGAGAAAAATTCAAGCAAGTAAAACTACCCAAAACAGCATCTAAAAACTTATGTTTTCAGTGAAAAACACAAAAAATTTTACTTAGTATATATCCCTTCTTTTTGATTGAAAAAAATGTATATATATATAAATGTATATTTTATTTTCTGCATCCTTTTTTATTTTTAATTATTTCAATGAATATTGCAAATAATACATCTACCTTAAAAATTGATAAAGAAAAATATTTGTTCATAATCTGCAGCAGTGACTGCTTTCCTGTTTCAGATTGACTAGAGTCTCATGCAATTCCAGCTTTAACAGGTTTACTCTATTTTAAGCTGCCTTTTTAGTTAATACTATGAAACAAATATTGTATTATCATATAATTTGCATTTGAAATTAACATTCTGCACACACAAACAACAATCAAAATTTCTATCTTTCAATATTTTCTTTAAATTCTGTTTTGATTAGGGTTTCTCATTTCCCGGTCTTTTGCTTGTCCCGGGATCCCGGGATAAAAGTGAACTGTTTCCCGGGATCCCGGGAAATCCTGGGATAGAATTAATTATTTCTAAGGTGTACAAAATATCTTGAAATCAAATGATATAATTATTTTCCATTTTTTAAAGTAATTTTAAAGTTCTGTAACCTCCAAAATCATATTAATAATGCTGTGTAAGGTCTATAGGCCTATAATAAAAATTACCTTTAAATAACGTAGAAATTTTCACAAATAGAAAAAAATTAATTAAAGTTTGCTGGAAACTGCATACAACAACAACAAAAAAAAAAATTNATATACCATGTGGGTCTTCGTATTGTTGAATTTATTGGCGACTTATGGCCAACGACCGGTGACAGGTAAGTGCAGATTCTCAAGATGGCGTACAAGGTCACTGTTTTACCTGTTGTGCACCCTATTAGAGGTCATCTTTATTGTGTTGTCTTATTGTAATCAATGTTTTGTATATTAACTTTCCAATAGTTTTAGTTTATTTTATATGTAATATATATATTAAACAATGAAATGATATTTATTTTTAGTAATATAAGATTATTTATTTACAAAAAGCAGGTGTAAATAATGAGTCGTAAAATAATTTAAAAAGTCAGATCTATGTCAAAATTAATACTAATTTACAATCACTTAACATTTAGGACATAAAACACGAAAACCCATTAAGTCTTTTTGAATTTAAAATTCTTTGTTAATGCGGAACACTATTGAAGTTAAGCTAATATAAAACTTTACTTTAAAAAATAATAATGATGACCTATTTAATTATAAATATTAATTTTCTATTAAACTATTTTTTAAATTTATATTCGTATAAATGCTTAAAAACAAAGGCTAAGAATGCATCAGAACAATTTCTGAATCTCTTTGTTAATGGCGAACAGTGGGATTGACAAAAATGGCATTTACTTTATTGTATTGATAACTAACGATTTCATTAAACAATATATTCTTAAATAACAAAATAAATAAATATAATTCTTTGTCACCTAATATTTATATATATTGAAAATTCAGATATATTCAGGCTCAAAAAATATTTAAAATTTAATTTGAAATTATCTATTAATTAATATATTTTCCATCATAATTGTAAATAATAAAGAAAATCCTGCTATATTGTATTCCCTTTCATAAGTTTTGTTTTTATATGTTAGTTTTACGATTCGAAAGTATCTAAAACGTCTGAATTAGATATAAAAATGATATATAATCGGATGTAAAGCTATTGAAAGCAAATATAAATTAAAAGTAATTAAATGAAATAATATTTAAAACTATAAAATGAAATGACAATAATATTATTTGTAGAAGCTGATAGTTAAATAGCACATTTTTATTAAAAATGTTCGTGGTGACTGTTTTAGATAAATATAATGTAAGTTAAAACTGAAATTGCTTCATTTTTATTGTTAAAAACTTGATTTTGATGAAATCACACGAACAGCCACTTGAATGCTTGGCTAGTTAAGGAAGACGTGCTCATTCTCCCGATAATTTCTGGCAAAAGACAGAGAAAGTAAATTCCTCACGTATAATATTTTAAAGTAATGAATTCTTGAATTGTTATCATCATCACTATTGCCAGCTACGAGGACTCACTATTGAATAAATGTCACGCCCATTAATTAAATGATAATTGTATGAATATATTTTAATGTATTATTATGCAAAATTCATTAGTTCAGTTTAAATATTTTACACGAATTATCTTAACATTATAACAAATATATATAGAAATCTTCGTTGATTTCAAAAGTCGGATGTCATTCATTGTTTTTTGTATAAATATCGAAAAAGATACAAAACCTATATAATAGAACTAAAAATATATACCGAAATATAATATTTAACTCTCGTATAAAAATAAACCTACAACTTATTGTTAACACAACTTTACAAGTTCATTTTTCCATTAAAATAGATATCCATTACGAAATTTTATTCAAAGTATAATAATAACAAGCTACAGTATTTTAAATACTTTTATATGCATCTAAATAGATATAATTAAAAATGCAGAAATTTTAAAAATGTATTTCTAGACAAGAAACTAATAAAACAAAATATATTAGATATTGTTAATGAAGCATCTATATATTTTTAGCGTATATTTATTACGTGATGAAAGAAAAAAAAATATCGAGGCCATATTAATAATTCATTAACGATAAATAATAATTTTGTACGCCTCACAAACTAAATAGAATTCAAGAATTAAATTATTTTGATAATGAGAAACTTATTTAATGTGTATGAACAGAGAGTTTATTAGATTTCTAAGTAGTAACTAACGATCAGTGCCGTAACTAGGCAGGTGCAACAGGTGCATTTTCGTTTTCCTAAGAATGATCTTGTATAGCCTATTTCTTGTATACACAAAAAATATTTATAAACAATTCTTTAATCATGCTGGTATGTGTTTTATTGTATTATTTCCCCCGAAAAAGTTAAGGAGCTCAAAAATAAAACCTTTCACAGGGCAGATGAAAAGCTAATTATGACACTGGTAACTATGATGATAACTTCCGAAAGAAAATAAATAACAATACTATATTATATACAATTTATTATCGAAGTTTTATCTTTTATTCGTTTTAATTATTTAAATAAAATAGAAAAGTATTAAAAATTAAAAACGAAAAGTAAGTTTATTGTATATTATTCTATATTACCATTTATTAAATGTAATTTACAACTGATTTTGATTATAAAATCATTTAAATTGAGTGATCATAATCAGTGAAAAGCGCAATAAAAATATGCAGAATTATTTTAAATGTAAATTTATATATTTTACTTTATTATTATAAATCTAAAATTAAATATATTTTGTTGAATATATAATAAAACAATTTATTTATATTTAAGATATACAAAATATGATTCTAAAAAAATTTTAATACTGTATATATAGTTTAATATTACTATGATGTTTAAAATAGATAATTAATTTTTTAACTTGACCTTTCTCGCATTATTGTTCCCTTAAGGAAAATTTGAATGGGGACATTAATTAAACTTGTTTAATAATTAATTAAAGAAAAATATTACTCGTAAGTAGTTCTTATCAAACAAATCTGACCATTGATAAACTTGAATGATAAATTTATATCGAATTACTTCTTTGATAGCACCATTGTTCGAAATGTCAGTCAAATTTTTAGGACAGGATAAAATAAGAAAAAAATATATAGATAATAAGAATAGATTGTATTTATAATGTGCCTTTTGGTTGCTTGATTAAATTTTAATGTGCTACTTGGTTACCTGGTTATATTTTTACTGTTACTACTTGATTAAATATGTGTAAAAGCAATAGCATTTGTTTATGTCTGATTTTTTATTATTTACTGTATATCTACTGTAACAGTACATTATTTAGATTTTTTTTTTAATTACTAGATGTATCCAGTT